GAGTAGGAGCCGCCACTACCCACCATCATTTTGTTCCATCTTGCCTGGCCCTGGAAAAGGGAACATCTGTGTCTCCCTGGAGCAGATGACACTGAGGAACAGAGTACTAGCAATACTAGCAATAGAGCAGTGAAACACGCCATCTGTGAAATAACATCTAGAGCACATTGTTAATAATTGGTTGTAATGTTTATTTGTATAGTGATGGTTTTAAAATGGTTTTAAATATGTTTTATATTGGCCTATGCCCTTGTAAGCCGCCCTGAGCCCGCGTAGCGGGGAGGGCAGGGTATAAATTGAATAAAATAAATAAATAAATAAATATATTGTGTTTCAAAAAAAGAGAGAGGGCGAGAGAGTACAGAGATTTCCTTCAAAAGAGACGCTGGCCACCTGTAGAATCTGAGCCGAAAAATTAGAGGCCTGCTTTATCAATCCATCCATCCATCCATTTTATTATGACAGAGCTTGCTTTAAAAATACTTCACCGGAAGGTTAACCTGGAAGCAACATGAGGACTCTGCAGAGGCCTCGGGTGGAACCCTTCCGCTCCGCCCAGCTCATATCCCAGAGCCCCGCTCCCACTCAGAGAGCCTGCCACCGGAGGGGCCCCCCCTCCAAAACGGGGTTGTCAGCCTCCAGGTGGGGCCGGGAAACCTCCCAGCAATGTTCCCTCTAAGCTGTGGAGTCTTGTGAGCAAGAATTCTACTCTGTGAGCCACTGGTATTAAAGTTGTGAACAAACGATTTGGCTGCTGCATAAGTTAGTCTGCTCTGGAGCCATCCTGCCTGAGCTAAGACAATAAATTGTGAGCCGGAGGCTAAAAAAATGTGAGCTAGCTCACACTAAGCTTAGAGGGAACACTGCCTCCCAGGACTATACCTGATTTCCAGACCACAGAGGCCAGTTCCCTGGAGCAAACGGCAGCGGCAGAGGGAGGGGCCTCTGGCATCGCGTCCCTGCTGAGCTCCCCCCCCCCCAAAAAAAAAACCCTGGTCTTCTTTCACTGGAGATGCTGCCAGAGGTTGTACTTGGGACCTTCTGCAGCCAAAGCGATTCCACTCAGCCGCGGCCCCTCCCAGTAAGTCAGCCCCTTACCAGCAATAGGCCAGGGTGGGCCAGTTTGCCCCCCCACACACAAACACCCATGCCAGATGTTGCTCTCTGGCCTCGAGCGCCATGTTCTCCTTGCCAGGCCATCCCTGCTTTCCTGCCCTGGCAGCAGGCTGGCTCTGCCAGGGACACGCGAGCCGGGGCAGCCGTGGGCCGGAGGGGCCGCGTGCAGAGCTGGCACTCGGAGGCCGGCAGGGGTGGGCAGCCTCAGGCTGAACTGCACACAGCACGGAGGAGCCCTCGGGCCGCCCCCGCTGCTGCACACCCCCAGCCGGGTTCCTCCTGATCAGGCAAGAACAGGAACTCACTCTGGAGCAACGGCCTGAAGCGGAGCCCTGTCCAGGACTGACTTACTCGGAGTCTTTCGGCTTGTCCCCAAAGACCTGGAATTTCTTGTCCGCCTTCGTTTGTTTGATGTACTTCTGCATGGAGACAGTGCTGCACTCAAAAAGAAGAATGTTTAAAAATCAGCGGTCTTCTTTCACTGGAGATGCTGCCAGAGGTTGTACTTGGGACCTTCTGCAGCCAAAGCGATTCCACTCAGCCGCGGCCCCTCCCAGTAAGTCAGCCCCTTACCAGCAATAGGCCAGGGTGGGCCAGTTTGCCCCCCCACACACAAACACCCATGCCAGATGTTGCTCTCTGGCCTCGAGCGCCATGTTCTCCTTGCCAGGCCATCCCTGCTTTCCTGCCCTGGCAGCAGGCTGGCTCTGCCAGGGACACGCGAGCCGGGGCAGCCGTGGGCCGGAGGGGCCGCGTGCAGAGCTGGCACTCGGAGGCCGGCAGGGGTGGGCAGCCTCAGGCTGAACTGCACACAGCACGGAGGAGCCCTCGGGCCGCCCCCGCTGCTGCACACCCCCAGCCGGGTTCCTCCTGATCAGGCAAGAACAGGAACTCACTCTGGAGCAACGGCCTGAAGCGGAGCCCTGTCCAGGACTGACTTACTCGGAGTCTTTCGGCTTGTCCCCAAAGACCTGGAATTTCTTGTCCGCCTTCGTTTGTTTGATGTACTTCTGCATGGAGACAGTGCTGCACTCAAAAAGAAGAATGTTTAAAAATCAGCCATTTTCTTCCGCCTGTTCGCTTTTCCTGCATTTCCATTGGTCATAGAAGCAAAAACAAAAAATAAACATCACCAAGCCAGACTGACGGGGCCCACCCCGGCAGGTCTACTCAGAATCCCAATCAAGCCTACTAAATGGGGCTTTTACTCCCAGGACAAATTGATTTTAGGATGGTACCGTAAGGGCCTGGTTTGAACCACAAGAATCCAAAAAGAGTCCTGCTCCACCACTTCGGGGCCCATCTGGACCGTCTCTCCCAACACTGATCAGTCATCAGAGGCCTCCATGAAGCTCACAAGCTGGGTCTGAAGGGACCTGCCCTTCCCAGCTGTCCCCCCCCCCACCCCCACGCACATGGTATTCCAAACTTGGGGGTTCTATGAATTCCGTCTTCAAGCCATCTGAGCCCATCAATAATCTTTAAGGAATGGGTGGTTGAACCACAGTGGTTACATCTCTTTTAGGAGTCAGTCCCTCTCCAGTCCTGAGAATTTGATCTGAAGATCTTCTGTTGATGTTGGTCAACTTCAACAGAACTTCAGGTGGAGAGAAAATGGTCCACCCCCCCTTGCCTGCTCTTCCTCTGCCCCCCCCCCCCCAGTGACTGCAAAGACCGTGGACAACAATTTCCAGTCCAAACACTTACACATGGTTACCGAAATGCCCGGCTCACCTCTGAAAGCCATACTGGGTGCAGTGAAGCAATCCAGGGTGGGTCAGGTTGCTTATCAGAAGTCCCTTGATATGGGATTCAATCCAAAAAGCAGCCAGAAGGTGTGAGAACCCTTGATGGCAAAACCCAATCTAACCAAATTTCACAGTCGCCCTCGGTAAACTCGTCCAGTTAATCCTGCGTGGCGCATCTATTCTCAACCAAAGAGCTACAAGGCAGGATGCGAGTGTGGTGAGCTGACAAGACGGTGCTCCTGAGCGTAGCCTCTGTGAGCACAGCACCACCCCGTGTTCCGGTTTCTGGGGGCCTATGTGCAGGTCAGACGCGGCGACTGGCTTTGGTCACCGCTTCTCCCTCAGGAATCCACAGGACTGCGGCACTGTGTGCCAGAGGGATCTCAGGGCCCTCGCCCAGCTCCGAGGAGTCTCAGGCTGATTTCGCACTAGAGCTGCCTCGATGTTGTGCCGCCGTTTGCCCCGATACTACTGGTCAATTTCACACCCGAAGCTGCGGGTCTGCATTTTGACTCGCGGCTTCTCCCGATTGCCCCCGCAGTTTTGTGATCCTGTTTTTTGAGGATCACGAAACTGCGGAGGAAATCGGGCGAAGCCGCGGGTCAAATGCAGCCCCGTGGCTTCAGGTGTGAAATTGACCAATAGTATCGGGGCAAACGGCGGCACAACATCGAGGCAGCTCTAGTGCGAAATCAACCTGTGTGTGTTGGGAAAGGCAACGTCTGGCACACAAAGAAGAAGAAGAGAAGGCTGCCCTGCAGGGGGCGGCAATGAGATGGGACAGTGAGGTCACCACCTTCTCTCTCCTTTTCTAAGGCTGATTTCCCACCAGCGCTGCTTCGTGCTCACTCCTCCCTTTTGCCCTGACGGCACGTGTCAATTTCACACAAGCTGCTGCGCGGCCAAATTTCGCCCCAGAGCTTCGCACGATTTCCCCCGCGTCTACTCAATCCTCAAAAAACAGGACTGAGTAGACGCTGGAGAAATCGTACGAAGTTGCGGGGCGAAATGCAGCCGCGCAGCAGTTTGTGTGAAACTGACATGTGCCATCGGGGCAAAAGGGAGGAGTGAGCGAGGAGCAGCGCTGGTAGGAAATCAGTCTAAGTGTCGTTCCTATTCTGTCTCCAGATTGCTACTCTCCAGGCAATTCCTCCCTTCTTCGCAGAAGTGCCACACTTTGTCTTACCCTCTCTCTCAGCTAGAAGCATAGTTATTAATCTGTATCTGTCTCTCCTCTCTACTATCAAGTATGTTGGTACCTAAATAAACCTTTATCAACTCTTTCATCAGGCTGTGCATTGTTGCTGTGTTAATTACTCTGCCAACACTTTCGGAGGAAGCCATCTGCTAAACTGGTCTAAAACCAGCATAAGTGTAAGTAAGTCCTTTAGGACAGAGGTGCAAAGAATATTTGTGATTTTTAGCTTCTGATAGGAAAACCACATACTCACACCGCAGCAGGTTTAAAAATACTGTTGCCCTGCCTGCGAAGAAGCAAGTGGAATCTGGTGTGCGGCAGTAGAAATTCAGACACGGAGGCAGATAGGGACATTTATGTACTTTGATGTACAGAGATGTGCACTGAACTGAGAAATGTGATGATCAACAATGACTTACGCAGTATTCCTTGGAGGTCTGGTTCTTCTGAATGAACATGAAATGCATTTAAGCCTGCGTGTTGCCCATGACACACAGAAGTGACTTCAGTCTGCATTGCACTGCTTTGAGCAGGAACTCCCAAATTAAATACGCACCACGAGAGATAAACTATTCAGATTCTTCTGTGAGCCACTAGGTATCGCAGACGACCTCCTTGTGGGCACTAGGTGTGATTCGAGTGTTCAGTCACAGAGACACAGCAGAATTACCCATCTGCATCTATGCTCAAGTCAATCCTCTGGAATGGACTCTTTACCAAGCACGAAACATACTCGGAACAGTGACTCAGGGTCAATCCACAGAACACCAAGGCCTCATGTCCTCCATGGGCCCTGTCGATGGATGTGATCCAGACGTTCCATACCTGGAACTTAATTTCCAAGCACATGAGGTTTGAATCCAAACTGGTCCCATGTCCAGCTGGGAATTAAGTTCTGAGCATGGAATTCGGGGGCGGGGGTGGGGAAATGAGCCTGAGATACTCTGTGTGGGAAATGTTCCTTATTCAGCCACTTCTATGCAGCAGACAGAGGGTATAAACATCCTTTCAGAGTGGAGACAAAGACGTGTGCCGTGGTCAGAAAACAAATGAGCTACACCCCTGAAGGCCGGGAGGAAGGGAGGAGAGGATTCTCACCTGCCCACTGAGACCTTCTTGCTGAAGGAAACGGACTTTTTGGGGACAGCAGGCATGGCGCTCAGACTGGCAGGGCTTGCGGCAACTTCTCCACGGGCATTTCCACTGAAGGTGGCGGGGAACGTCGGAACCGGACAATACACTTTTCGAAACACGCAGGGGGGAAAAGACAGAAAGAAACATTACGTTGTTGGCTGAGCTTGCTACTGAGACTGCTGGCAAGATTTAGTATTTCTCAGGGGCACAAAACTGGCAAAGGGTTCCAGCCAAACCACCCTTTGTCCCCCTGCATCAGCACCCAGAAAGTTCAGAGAGACAGGAGGAGAGAATTTGCACACAGCCTCCGTAAATTCTGCATCCCACACACAAAATGCACCACACCCTCTTCTGTAAGTAGGGGGCTGTGGTTGGTTACAGACCATGTGGCCAACAGAAAGAACATTTAGAAGCTTAGCTTTGGAGTTTTAAAAACACAGGCTTGTTTCTTGATCCCATGGTTGTGGTAAAAAGTTTGAAAATGGGTGGGGCTTTCAGTATGCAAAGATGATACTTGCGCATCTTATGTAATTCCTCATCCCCTTTTATGACCCAATTGTTTCCTCTTTCATCACCAACAGCAACTGCCTCCATCTCCTCCTCTCTCAGCAATTGGGGAATCAGGAAAGGAAAGCCTCTCTCTCGCACGTGCCCGTACCCCCCCCCTGCGGAGCTCCCTTTAAAAAGTAGCCCTGATAGCAGCGGAGTAGCCGCACCCCCGCGATCCTGCTCGCTCCAGCCGCCCCCCCTCTCTCCCACACCGCCGGCCACCCACCCAGTGGCTTCTTCGCCCTGCAGAGCGGCTGCTCTGCTGCGCCCCTTCCCTGCTGCGGGTAGAGCTTGGCTTGGCTTTCGCGCCCCAACTTGGTTGTGCGCTTGTGTTTTCTCCGGCGCTCACGGGGCCGATCAAGGAGATCTCCATGGGGGGGGGGGGCGGGGGGGGGGGGAGGGGG